AGTTTTGCAGATAAAAATTACATGCTCACATAAACTCTAAGAAGACAAAAAGCTGGACAAATTAACCACTCATAATAATAAATCTGCTTTAACTCTCTTTTCCTCCTTTTTGGTGGGACTGGGGTTTGAACTCTTTGTTCCTGCAAAGAAGGCGCTCCACTGCTTGAGCCACACCTTCAGTCCTTTTTGCTCTGGATATTTTGTAGATGGGGGTCTCTTGAACTATTTGCCCAGGCTGGTCTCGAACTACAATCCTCCTGATCTCTGCCTCCCAAGTAGCTATGATTACGGGCATGAGGCACTGTCGCGTGGCTGCTTTGATCTTCTTCCTACCTTTTCCCCAACCATGCTATCCTTCAGAGGCTAATTTTTCCTGCCTCTTCATACATTGTAAGTTCTGGCCAAATACTAAAAAGCTAGCCAAATGACCTGGATAATAATCCTCAGTTCCTAATATAAATGCTGTGACCTATGAGCTTTTCTCAAAGTAGAAAGCATTAGTTGGAAGGAGCTGCTCATAGTTCTTAACTTACATCTGTGGCAAATAGGAGACAAAGGATGTTCTTTACACCAAACATTATGGCCTGCTGCACCTGCCTTGATTTGGAAGTACCTTAGCTGATGCTAGAATATGGTGTACCATATATACTTACATGTTAACACTAGCTATTTCTTGTTTTTTTTTTTCTTTTATTATTCATATGTACATACAAGGCTTGGTTCATTTCTCCCCCCTGCCCCCACCCCCTCCCTTACCACCCACTCCAGCCCCCTCCCTCTCCCCCCCACCCCCTCAATACCCAGCAGAAACTATTTTGCCCTTATCTCTAATTTTGTTGTAGAGAGAGTATAAGCAATAATAGGAAGGAACAAGGGGTTTTGCTGGTTGAGATAAGGATAGCTATACAGGACATTGACTCACATTGATTTCCTGTGCGTGGGTGTTACCTTCTAGGTTAATTCTTTTTGATCTAACCTTTTCTCTAGTTCCTGGTCCCCTTTTCCTATTGGCCTCAGTTGCTTTAAGGTATCTGCTTTAGTTTCTCTGCATTAAGGGCAACAAATGCTAGCTAGTTTTTTAAGTGTCTTACCTATCCTCACCCCTCCCTTGTGTGCTCTCGCTTTTATCATGTGCTCATAGTCCAATCCCCTTGTTGTGTTTGCCCTTGATCTAATGTCCACATATGAGGGAGAACATACGATTTTTGGTCTTTTGGGCCAGGCTAACCTCACTCAGAATGATGTTCTCCAATTCCATCCATTTACCAGCGAATGATAACATTTCGTTCTTCTTCATGGCTGCATAAAATTCCATTAACACTAGCTATTTCTTAACTGACAAAATTAAGGCAACTTTAAAATAGTGCAATTTTATTCTCAACATACTAATTTTACATTCAAACTCCAAAACAACCCATAAAAGGGGCAATTAAGAAAGATGATTATCTTGAGTTGCTAGAATTCTTACATCCTATTGGAGTGATAACAGGCGTAACCTTCTGGAAACATTCTGGCAGGATCTATTGATGTGGACATGTGCATATCCTAATTCTATTCCTTAGGGACATAAACAAAGAAATGTACACATATGTCTACCAAAAGACATACTCATGCATGTTCACAGATACTCTAACTAGTAATAATAATTAAACAGGAGAATGGACTAGTAAGTTGGGGTTCAGTCACACAGTAGAACACTACACAGCAAACAGAAGGAACAAATGTACAACCACTCACAATGTGGATGCATCTCACATATATGATGTTGAGTGAAAGAAGCCAGGCAAACAAAAATTCACTATGATTCCACCTAGACAACACTGAAAAGCAATGGTGCTGAAGTCAGAAGAGTTATTCCTTGCAAAATGGGGAGACTGGGGAGCATGATGGGCATCTCTGAATGTGGTTACACAGGTATAGTCTCTGTTAAAACTCAACAAGCAAAGATTTATGATTTGTACATTTTTATATATGTCTATTTCAAATGTAGTAAAAAAATCCTGCCATAGGTTAGAAAAGACCCTGTACCTTGCACTGAATGATCCTTTCCAATATAAATTCAGTGTATAAAGCCTACTTTGGTGAGAAAGTGAAGAGAAAAATGACCTACTTCTCTTCAAAGGCTATTTTTATCCACTCATTTGCTGGCACTGCCACAAAGGAAAATAGCTGTATCTGAATCTGCTGTGAATTCCCTCTTGGCACTGTCACAGGAGGCAAAACAGTGGACTGGTTTCACTATGAAATCAGATGGAGCTCAGTATGTATCCTGGCTCCACCAGTAAAAAGGTTATGTGGCCTTGCCATGCATCAGGTCTCCAACTATAAAGTGAAGATAACAAGAAGGAAGTAAAATGATGGGAGTGAAGGGCCAGACATCCTAACTTGAACCTGTTACCATCAGAATGGAATTTTGCCCAACCCCCCACCCCCCAGAAAACATTTCATTCTGTTGCTCAAGAAATTTGCTATATAGCCTAGGCTGACCTGAACTCATGATCCAGCTCACCAGGACATAATTTAGGTAATAACAAGATTTATCTTTCAGCTTGTTGTCCACAGCTCAGTTAGAGCTCCTTAGATGCTCTCTGTGAACCCCAACTGACACTTTATCACCAACAAGAACCAAATACTGCTGGATATGGAGGGGGCAATGCCTATAATCCGAGCTACTTGGGATGCAGGAGATCCAAGAGAATTCTGGTTGGAGGTCAACCCAGGCAAAATGTTAGTAAGACTCCATTGCAACAGAACATGGTGGTTCACACCCGTAATCCCAGCTACTGGGAGGCATAGGTAGGAGGATCATAGTCTGAGGCATGCAGAGAGAAAAAGCATGAAACCTATCTGAAAAATAACTAAACCAAAAAAGGGCTGGCTCAAGCTGGTAGAGTGCCTGCCTAGCAAGTTTGAGGGCCTGAATTCAAACACTCGTATGGGGGGAAAAAAAAAAAAAAGAAATAAAAACAAAGCAGCCATAGTGAACTTCCTAAACACTTACCTGAGTATTTTAGGTAAAAATCTTGAACTTATATATATATTTATGAGATGGGGTCTTATTATGCTGCCAATGGTGACTGTGAACACCTGGGCTCATACAATTCTGCATCAGCCTTCTGAGTAGCTGGGGCTGCAGGCAAAGAGTGACTATTCCCAGTTCAGGAACTGAACTTTTAAATAACTGCTTTTGAAAAACTGTTAAGCATTTTTACCTTTTGAAAGCTTAACTCTGCAGAAAATGAGGTCCTATACTGAGAATTTAATATCTGTTCAAGTGGACAGAGAAAAGTGAAGAAGAAAGGATCCAGTACTGTGAACACGTCAGATTGTTAAGACTATTCCCATAAACATTATTTATATCAAGTGGCAAGTCTGATGATGATAGCAGATTCTACTGGGGCGTGTGTGTGAAAATGAGTACTTCCACAAAGTCTGTTTTTGGGTAAAGCAAAAAAAAACTCCAAAACAACAAAAAATCCTATTGCTTAAAACATGTTTTGGGTTGTGAATAAAGGATTTAAGTGTAATCCTGGCTACCTGAGAGGTGGAGAATGGCAGGACTGTAGTTCAAAGCTAGCCAGAGCAGGAAGTTAGTGAGACTCCATCTCAACCGATAGTGGGGTGTGATGATATAAGCCTGTCATCCCAGCTACAAAGGAAACATAAATAGGAGGATGAAGGTTCAGGCTAGCCCAGGCAAAAATGCGAGACCTTATTCCCTAAATAACTGAAGCATAAAGGGCTGAAGGCATTGCTCAAATGGTAGAGCACATGCCCAGCAAAATGGGCTGGAGGTGGGGCTCAAGCAGACCACAATCTTCCCACCTACAGTCCCCCATACCTAGTGCTCCATGTTCTTGGGATCACTGGTGTGTGTCACCATACCTGGCTCACTGAGATGGGTATCACTAAATTTTCCTAGACTGGCCTTGAACCACAACCTTCCCAATTTCCACCTTCCAAGTAGCTGGAATTATGGCAATGGCCACTGTACCCAGACACAATGGGCCAATCTTAATGTCACAAAAAGAGACTGCTGTACCTTCTCTCAAAAAGTGAACCTGATAAGCCAAAAGCAATCCTCTGGTTTATGGGACATGTGTGCAAGGGAGGGAGAGGCAGAAGGACAAATGACACGACACTATGCACATTTAAAAAAATATTTGGTATGGAGGACTGAACCCTCACACATGCTAGGCAAGTACTCTACCACTGAGTCACACCCTCAGCCTAACACTGCACACATTGAGGATACAATCAGGCATGGCCACAGTGTGGTTTCTTTAACACGTAAATGCAATTTGAAAAAAAAAGGTGAACTTTATGTGTTAAGGGACATAAATATGGTGTGTGGCTCTTCTTTGAATACTGATTCAAACAAATTAGGGCTGGCAGAGTGCCTGACTAGCAAGGAAGAGGCCCTGAGTTCAAAATCTAGTGCCAAAAAAAAAGAGTAAGAATAAGATTCCCACTGGTTGGAGATGAAGATACATTCTGAAGTCTTATCTCCCTCTCCAAAGTAAGAAAGAACAGATAAAAATAAATCATTAATAATGTCAATAATTTTGAAGTTAGTATAAGGGGGAATTATCACAACTATTCATTCTTGTTTTGTCTATAGTTGAAGATTTTCCTAACAAAAAGTTAAAAAATGGCAGAAAGCTGAGTCATGAAAAGTTCATTATAGTCTTATCCTATTTACCTCTGAAAATTTCTCTAAATAAAAAAGTACATACAACCTTAGGATAAATTTTTGTAAAACTCTTGAGATATACTGGCCATTTAGCTGCCAACCTCCTCAAGGAAAAAGCATCAAACCAAGAGGACTGTGGAAAGAGAACAAAGCAGATTTACATGGTGATAAAACCAGAACTTACTTGCCTTGATTTTCTAGATGACAGTGGAAAATCTAAACACACTTTGTTAAGAAACCAGCACCTGCACGGTTAACCCCTTGAGGATGGCCACAAGACTTTTCTGTAATCAAAGCTTCCTCTCACCTGGCTGGGGAGGATGAGGTGGTGGCATCTGGTGGTGCATCAGAGGGTAAGGAGGGGGCTGCTGATGAGGCATCATGCCTGGGTGCCCTGCTGCTCCAAGAGGGGCAAGGCCAGGTCCTCCTGGGTGCTGGTGTGCCTGCTGAGGATTTTGGCTATGTTGCTGCTGTTCCATTTGTTGTCGGGCTCGTAATTCAGCATATTTCAGCTGTTCCATGTGGAAGTTCTGGCGTTCTGTAAGCAACTGCTGTCTCTGTTGTTCCAGCTGTAACAAAAGTTAAGGGAAGACAAATGATACTTGGACAGGCTCTCTGGATTGGATAACACACGACATCTCCTTAATGCCTGAGTTCACTGTACATCATGGGGATGTAGCCACCTTGCCTCCTACAACATCTGCAATGAGAAAAATGAGGCATTCTTTCTTTCTTTTTTCCCTTGGTAGTAGTGAGGTTTCAACTCAGGGTCTTATACTGCTAGGCAAGTGCTTTACCACTTGAGCCATGCCTCCAGCTCACTTTATTTCTTTAATAGTATATTTCCATTTGGATACCTGTTACTGATGCCAAGGTCTTCTCAGTGTTACATCTTGCAAACGTCAGTAAGTGGGGCTATTGTTCTATGGATTAGATGTAATCTTCTTTGGGAGGCCTTCAGAACCGTTTTTTGAGACAGCATCTTGCTAAATTGCCCAGGTGGCCTCTATCTCTTTCCTGGGTTCAAGTGATCTTCCTACCTCAGCACATGCCATTGCACTTGAGTTCACCTTCACATATTTTAAAATACTCTATAAGACTACCTGAAACTTCTTCTAGTAATATGAGTCCATCTTGATCCCCCACACCCCCACTTTAAAAAAATTTTTTTGTGGTACTGGGGTTTGAACTCAGGGCCTTATGTTTGCTAGGCAGGTGCTTTACCACTTGAGCCACTCCACCAGCCCCCTCTTGACCCTTTACTGGTTCATCAGATGCCAACATTTCAAGTACACACAACTTTACAAGGTGTTCTCTTTGGGATGTGATCTTTTTGGTTACTGTGTATTTTAGAATGCAACAGCAGAGTTACATCCCCTGGATGAGCTGATGTGGCCTTACCTGCAAAGCCATATGCCACACATTTCTCTATGAAGAACTTTGGCTTATAAGTATCCAAAATTACACTGGGTGATACACTTACAGAATATTTTAGCTGCCTAAATAAAATCAACCTGAATATGAAGAAAAATAAAAATCTAGATCTCTGGAAGTGTGTAGTGCAATGATTGTAACCATAAGGAGGTTAACAGATTTGTTTCTTTTCAGTAGTGTCATTATCCCATCATTTCTCATAGCAAGATCTATGTCACTAGGACTCCTTCTCTAGTGTTGTACTGTCCAACACAGTCACAAGTGATATGCACCTAATTAGCAGAGCATTTGAATTGTGGTCAATATGAAGTGAGATCTGCTGGGTGCTGGAGGTTCATGCCTGTAATTCTAGCTACTCAGGAGGCAGAGATCAGGAAGATCGTGGTTCGAAGCCAGCCCGGGGCAAATAGTTCGTGAGAACCTATCTCGAAAAACTCTTCACAAAAAAGGGCTGGTGGAGTGGCTCAAGGTGTAGGCTCTGAGTTCAAGCCCCAGTACTGCAAAAATAAATAAATAAATAAATAAAATTTAAAAATGAAGTAAATTGTGCTATTGGTGCAAAATTCACACTAAATATGAAGACTTAATTTTGTTTTTCACTTTGATTATATATATAATTAGTATTCTGTATAAATTAAATTATTATAATTCCAGTTGCTTCAAATTTTTTTTAACATGGCTGTCAGAAATATTTTTATTATACCTCACATCTTATTTCTGTTGCAACATTATTCTGGGGCATTTCATAGGTTAGGGAAATGTAACATTTTAGCTTTTGGAAGCAGTTAGTTCTGTGGATAATTAGCAAAAAGTAGATGGAATAAGCCTAAGAATTAGCCTAAAAACCTGGGTTCTTAACAGAGAATTTTCTGGGGATAAATCGTGGAGTAGAGTGGAGTGAGAAGCAACTAGGGAAATTCCCTAATAGGTGGCATGGGCCACAGTATGAACAGAAGAGCCAAGAGCAGATGGGAAGGAAAACAAACAGAGGGAACAGATATTAAAGCTTACACCTTGGCTTTGGCTAGTTGGCTTGTAGAATGAGACAGGATTCTAACTATGGTTTCAGTAGGTGGTGGAGACGCTTCATTTTCTAGGTAGGGTGATAGAAGGAGGATAAAGTCTAGCCTGGTTCAATTTTTTTGTTTCCACAATGGGAAGGGAGTTGTAAAATGTAAATGACAAGAGAATCATCTGGAAGTACATTTCTGCAAGAAGACTAACCAGGGAGATAACCTTTAGAAGGCAAAATGATTTAAAAAAAAAAAAAAAAAGCACCTAAAGATTCTGACTACTGAAACTTGGTTTTGTTTTCTGTTAAATATTTTTTCTAGGAAATTTAGGACTCTGTAAGAATTTACTGAGGTTAGACTTAAGAGGTTGCCAGAAATGAATGTCTTACTTATATTCTTGTTGAGTTACTATGATGTGGACAGTTTGATTAAAGTCTGCAGTTGTGTAAAAACTACAGAAGTTAGGTCAAAGTCTGCTTTATACAGAAGGTGAGTTGCTTCTAGAGATATTTTTCCATCTCTGAAGGGAAGTTTTGTTCTCTGAATTACCGAGCTCAGTACTTTTTAAAATCAAACTAGTCCTTCTTTGAGGGCGAATCTTATCACCTATAGTTAGAGAGTGAAAGTAACAAATTTTACTGTCTACAATACGAACTGTGCTCTATTATCATATTTATTTCTGAACTCCAGGTTTCACTTTAAAACACTGAATGTAATTAAAGGTAAGTAATTATAAGAATTAAAAAGGATAAGTGATTAAATACTCATATATACCTGGAAGAGAATCCAGTTTTAACCTAAAGCTCTAATATGGGACAAACAGGTCCCCTGAGGTGACAGCAATGCTCAGATGGCAGGCTCCTAGTTGGCTCTAGGAGGGCCATCTCTGCTCTGGGGCAGAAGCAAGAGCTTGTGGCCACATCCTGGCCTCATCACACAAACAAAATACCTCTCTTGTTCTGGACACCTTATTTTTGTTGAATCTAGTTGAAAACTACATTTTCTTTTGTGGCAACCACAAAGAATATGAACTAGGAATTTTGGGGTGAAAAGCATTTAATTACTGACCCAGTGATTTGACATCTGGAAAGTTGTCCTAGAAAACTTATGTATGTATGTATAAAGATATTAAGGTTTTTTTTTTTTTTTTTTTTTTTGGTGGTATTGAGGTTTGAACTCCTGGCCTCACATTTGCTAGGCAGGCACACTACCACTTGAACCACTTTGCCAGTCATGTTTTGTTTTGGGTATTTTTGAGATAGGGCCTCGAGTACTGTTTGGCCAGGTTGGCTGTGAACCATGATTCATCTCTGCCTCCTGAATACCTAAGATTACAGGTGTGAGACACCAGTGCCTGACTATAAAGCATTATTTTTGATATACAGTTATACCAGATTCATTGAGTGGGGAAAAAAGCAAGTTAAAACAAAAATATTTATATTATAATCCCAAGCAAATAAAAAATTTATGTTCATGTATGAACAAAATGTTCTGATAAACACCAAACAGTGATTATCTCTATAAAGTGATGAGAGATTTATTATGTTAATGTTTTACACCATAAATAATATTCTTGTAATCAAACAACAAAAGTAAAAAAACTTCCCAAGCTGTATCATATAGACATCCTGATTTTATTCTCTTCCTTCCCCAGTTCTAGGACTGTGGATCAAGTTTAAAATCTAAAATGAACAGTGTTAACTACTCATGTAAATAAGGTGTTAATAAACCTGCTAGCTTTCTTCACAACTCCAAACTAGATTCATGGAACCCATTTCATACAAAGCAGCCAGCAACTGCTCTGAAGCTCCCCCCATAGCATTCAAACCCTGCCTTCCTCTCCTTGTGTGTTCCTCTACATCCAAACGGAACCTATCAACAGAGCACTTTTCAATACTAAGACACTGAATGCAGACACAGCTGCAACTGCAGCTGAAGTTCACACAAAGCTCTTCTCCCAACTTCTATTTGCATAAAGCAGGGAGGAGGGGTGAGAAAGAGGAAAAGATGGCGGGGGACACAAAAATCTATCCACACTGCCAAGGACTGAAATATCAGCTGAGACAATAAGCTCTAACTACTTGGCCTTAGAACTAAAGTTAATAAACATCCCTTCCTTTTCAGTTTTTGGTATCAGTGAGAGACATGCACTGAAGAAAAACCAAGCCTAAAACAGACATATCCATTCCTTATTACACGAGAGAAAAAAAAAGCACAACTATATTTTGCTACTTCTGTATGTGCTCATGGTGGTAGGAACCCAAAGCTTGCAGCATTATGATGACTGGTCATTATATTTTTGTTGCAACATGCTTCCTTCATGAGGCCATGTGTTTCTGTACTTCAGAACTGAACTTGTTACTGGGTATTTAAAAAAAAAAAATCTACAGCTGGGCACTGGCGGTTCACACCTGTAATCCTAGCTTGTCAGGAGGCAGAGATCAGGAGGATTGAGGTTTGAAGCCAGCCTGGGCAAATAGTTCACAAGACCCTATCTCAAAAATATGCAACACAAAACAAGGCTGGTGGAGTGGCTCACGTGGTAGAATGCCTTCCTAGCAAGTGTGAAGCCCTGAGTTCAAACCCCAGTGCCACTAGAAAACAAACAAAAACCCCCAAAAAACCTATAATGTAATGATGCATATTTAACAATAGATTCAATTATATGACAGGCAACAGAAATGAATTATCACAAAAATGCAAAAAACAAAGGTAAATATAATTCCCCTGGAACAGTATGAAATTTACTTTTTCTGTTGTAGAGTTCAACAAATCTTTTTGAGGATATCCTGTTAGCACTACTATCAAAATCTATCCAGAACATGACCCAGAACTTGACCACATCTTTCATTTCTAAGGCTGACACTCAGTCTAAGTTACTATCACCTCTCATGGGTACCCCAACACTCTTTTCACTGTCTCCTTATCTGACTTTAATATCAGTCTACAACACAGCAGACAGACCCATCCTTCTTAAATTGTAAGAAAGATCACACTATTCCTCAACTCAAGGCCCAGAAACCAATCCACATTTCTTTCTTTCTTTAAACTGTATGGTACTAGAAGCTGGGTACCAGTGGCTCATGCCTCTAATCCTAGCTACTTGGGATGCTGAGATCAGG